TTTCCGAAATTGGGGTATTCCTGTTTGTTATTTCCGGAGGAACAAAAAATGACTGGCGCCGAACTCTTGATTTTGTCTTGCCAATTTTGAGATTCCAGGGCAAAAGGGCGCGTTAACTGGCCGATTTCATCCCCAGGGAAATTGGACCTGTTACAAATTTTATGATGGTTTATACATACTTTTATCAATAGTGTTAAATTGAAGAACGTTGATGAAAACACATTGTATCTATTTCATATTAAGAAACAAAAAATGAAATGAAATCATGAAATCATGTATCCCAAAACTGTACAACAAATAGGCAGATGATAAAAGCATGCAAGATATGAGAACACTTCTTACCTCCAATTTTCTTAGTCAAGAATAGGCTAGTGGAATGGAGGTACCTACCTACGATAATCCAAGTTGGGGCTTCCCGTCGGGCTGTAAATGGGTGTGCACTTCCTTTCAATATCGTAGTAGAGCACAGCAGACGAAGCACCGAATTTAAAGGAATTCATCCGATCATTAATTTGTTCCAAATGAATTTTACCATCATCATCCCCGATTGCACTTTGACACACTCATATCTGCTCAAAATCTGGAAACGGCCCTCAAACTCATCTTAATTAGACGGTATATTTATACGTATAGATTGACGGAAAATCCCTGAGTCGATTTATCCACCCCTCTCGAGACATGTTTTTTTTATCCCGTCGGCCATCTCAGAATAGGGGCGTTGAGGGTACAAAAATTAGATTGATACTTATAGGTATCGTAAACCCCACCCTCAAGCCCCCCTCCCCTTCTTCCTTACTCCAAATGACTCGTCCCACAATCAACGCCCATTTCACTCTGACGCACTCACCCCAGCCTGAACTCTGCATTTCTTCCAATGCACTCATCCCGCCATCAACCCTCATTTTCCCCATGACACATTCCACCCTCAACCATCATTTTTTTCGAATGAATTCATCCCACCATGAACCTCCTTTGCACCCTGGTACACTCTTGCCACCCTCAACCCCTAATTTTTTTCTAATGCACTCAGTTCACCCTTCTATTTCCATTTTTTTCCAATTCACTGATTGGACTACGTATCTCCGTCTAATCATTCTGTGAATCAATCTACATGCACCTGTAGACCCTTTTGTTACCCTGTCAGCCATCTTGAAAATGTATTAGTGAGGGTGACAAAAAATGTAACAATTTATAGGTACAGATCGACTCAGAATCATTCCCTGAGTTGATTTACCCACCCCTGTGAAGACTTCTTTTTTTACCCCGTCGGCCATGATGAAAATGTATTGGCGAGGGTGAAAAGAAAGGTCAAAATTTATAGGTACCGATCGACTGAGAATCATTCCCTGAGTCGATTTACCCACCCCTGTGAAGACTTCTTTTTTTACTCCGTCGGCCATCGTGAAAATGTATTGGCGAGGGTGAAAAGAAAGGTCAAAATTTATAGGTACCGATCGACTGAGAATCATCCCCTGAGTCGATTTACTCACCCCTGTGGAGACTTTTTTTTTACCCCGTCGGCCGCCTTGGAAAGTATTAGTGAGAGTGAACAAAAGTCAAAATTTATAGGTACAGATCGACTCAGAATGACCCCCTGAGTCGATTTACTCACCCCCGTAGAGACTTCTTTTACCCCGTCGGCCGTCTTGGAAATGTACAGTGAGGGTGGAAAACAAAGGTTGAAATTTATAGGTACAGATCGACTCAGAATCACTCTCTGAGTCGATTTACCCACCTCTGTAGAGACTTTTTTTTTACCCCGTCGGCCATCTTGAAAGAGGGTTGAAAGGCTTGAAAGTGAGGGTGGGAAAAAAAGGTCAAAATTTATAGGTACCAATCGACTCAGAATCACCCCCTGAGTCGAGTTACCCTCCCCTGTGGAGACATTTTTTTGCACCCCTGTATAGACTTTTACCCCGCCAGCCATCTTGGAAATGTGCTAATGAGGGTGTAAAAACACCGCATTTTATCCAGAAGCATTTTATCCCTTCACCCTAAAACCCCCCAATTTCCTGCAAGCATTCATTCCATTTTCATCCCTTCATTTCACCCCTAACCATGCCTACAAACACCATGTTTATACTCGTACCCCTTTCTTAGTCCCAGTTTCACCCTTACACCCACCCTTTACCTTCATGCTTCTGTCTAACCCCTAATTTAGAAATTCATCCTCCAAACGCCATTTATTCGTATCCCCCCATTGAGATATTATCCCCCCAAAAGTGCCCCTCCTTCATACGCTCCTGATCACTTCTGCCGTGAAACTCCTTTTTGCCTCTCCGAAATTGAGAGGCCCCACTATCGCCATCTGCCTAATTTTAGTTTCCCTAAAATTGACAACTGATCGCTTCGTACTCGCCGACAAAAATTACGGGCGTTGGGGTACATCGAATCTTTCCGCTGTAGCCTTCGCTACATTACCTACCCGCGGTAGTGTTTCTATATTACCTGGGGGGCCTAGGTCGTACTCCCGTACGGTGGCACTGCGAATACCAGAGTGGGGAGCACTTGGGACTACGTCACACGACGCTTCTCCCACTCTGCACTGGCAGCTATATAATCGCCTACGTGAGTTCTCTCGACCAGTTCGTGCTCGGTCTTGCCTTGAGCGCAGAACTACCTGGCTAGCTATCTAGTTCCTTCAGCCCTACCTCCTAGCAATCCTACGCACTCTGTACTACCTGGACTTTCTCTCCTTTCTCAGGATTGAGAAGTGGCCATCCCACGGTACAAGACCGTGCACTCACCGCTATCGGTCCCCTTCCTCCTATTCCCGGACGAAGGGACGGTTGCTCTCTGTTTGTTTCTCCCCTTTATAGGGTTGAGAAGTTAGATCTCTAAATCGCTCTCTGCGCTTTGGACGCAAGTCAAAGACGTGTCTCTCTGAGACATAATTTGTAGTGTTGGCTCTCTCGACTGACTCTACCCAGTCAGTACGCCACACCGGGAAAAATCGCAGAAAAAACTTTCTAATATTTCCACAATGCAATTGATATGTAATTACGTCCTGATTGCTGTTTAACCTTTCGCGCAAGGGAATAGAGAGATTTTAAAAAATGCATGCCATTTTCAGCTGTTATAACTAATCGAACATAATACTCACATGGCAAATATTTTCTAGATTCCATTAAGTAAAGCCAAAACTTGATCTGACACTGAAAAAAATGAATCTGACGTATTCTCATATAATATAACAGAGGGTTCGTGAAGATTCATAACGTTTTAAGCGAATGAAATCTCCTAACTTATTACCATTTTAGCATATACGAATACTTATTAAATCCGACGGTTCAGATAAAAACTGTCCTTAGTTACACAATATCAATCGTTTCTCCTCTTTTTGGTGACCACATTACTAACATCCGTGCTTAATATTTCACTAAGAAATGCCCATAACATTGAGCTGCTCTTATAAATTAAAAAATTTTTAATAACGCATTGGATTTCGCAATTGTTTCTCGACAATTTCGAAATCACTCTAAATAACTCGCACTAGTTAAAATCCAAGAAAATACAATACAAAAGTAGAACAATAATCAGCGAAAATCCGACATCTGACGAAATATCACTCCTCGAATTTTCGCCGTCACCCACCTCCACTCCAATCAGCCAACACCCAAATTCAAAAAGATAAAAATGAGTTGACGATAATCAAAAGTCAGTCGCGGAAAAATCGTGGAACCTTACGGTTCTTTTTCTTGGAAAAGTAACTCAAGGTCACATCAACTTTAAATTGGGCGACAGCCACGGCACCGATAAGAAATATCTCCGTGAATTACGGCGGTTAGCTAAATCATCTTCCCCGTAACATTGATAATTTTCGGCAAATAAATCGTCGTTTAGGATCCGCTAGATCCCTGACTTTTAAAGTTTGTTCCGCTTATTTCAACCACGCGTTAAAAATTTCAAACAGAGCTCCGTGTCTCCAAACGTTCCTATGAAATAAAATTGCGCGTGTGATTTTCGTTATTTCTATATCCGAACGATTGCGTACTAGAAATGCCGCCGGTTCAAAATTGGAAAACCGATCGTGAAACAAACAACTCAGTGTAGCGGAAAAACATAAAAGCCCACTGTCAATTCAACAAACTTTAGAGAAAAATTGTAAACTGAGCAACAGCAACTGTAAGTAAATTTCTAAGCTAATAAAACACTGTTCACACTCATTAAATGTGACTTGAATTTTACTGAATCCTTAAGAATACCAAAAAGGAAATCCAACCTCTAAGCTTCAGAAAGGAATACGAATACTACAAAATATAACAAGGAAAAACTACGATAACTTGAATCGGGAAATGAGTCTATGAGCAACACTCAGACTCAAAAATCGTTTTTCTTTTCAGTTAATTTGGAGCCGCAAATAATTAAAATAACGTGGTTTCCCGACCACTAGTCCTGGACATAACACTGTCATGCATATTTCCACGTTCCCATTATCTGCTAGCTACAAAAACGGTTACTCTTGACTCGTCGATTTGGTAGCCCTGTCTGAACAGAGCTGGCTACTGTCTTATTTTGAATAGGGTCCCTAGCTGATCGTCATTTTTACTAGTTTGCGCGGTGAAAGGTCGAATTATAGATAGAGATAGTTCTCGTATTTTCATCAAATGATGCATTCTAATGTTCTTTACAAATAATTATTCATTATACTCCCATCAACGTTTTTTAAAGGTCTTATTAACTACTCTTTGATGAAAGTAATGCAAACTATTCCATTATGAATTCTAACTTCGGCCGCATAGAACTCGTAAAAACAGCGATCGGTTGGTTGTTTAGGGTCTTATGTTACTCAGCTTGAGAATATCGATATTCAAAATATATCTACATATCTCTCTCCCTCTTTTTGGCTTTGAAAAAATAATAGAAATCTGAACTCTATACAGAAATCTCTACAACACCACAACATGGCACATTTAAAAAAAAAAGATTTTTCTGATTTTAATTTTTTCTGTGAAGGAATAATTTTCTTTCTAAAAAATACGTTTTTCTTCAGCTAGTCTTTCATTGAACGTTTATTTTCGAGATATTTCATTGAGATTTCATGAGGCAATACAATTGACAATGAAGTCAATAACGATTGTTTGGATGCTCCCTGATTAACTGAGTGTAGCCATTCACTACATTTGCTTTCTTTTATTTTTCGACATCCAATGCTAAGGATGTCTCTGGCTGAGTCCATATGTAGCCTGTTCGTGTTATGCTACAGTGGGCATCATAGTATTTTCCTGGTGCTCTGCAATAGGACCATCGTGGACATCTACAACGGAATTTACTGTGAAATTCCTCTTTACACACTTCGTTCCACCAACAAGTTCGCTATAACAAAACAGCATAATGGTAAAAATTTTTGGTATGGAAGCACGTTTCTTATCCAGTAGTTGTTATCAGTTATAATTCTGTCAATTTTTGCAATAATAAAGGAATTATAAATTTACGGTCATAATCAATACTTATACAAAAGATGTTAAAATGCTATGAGACGTCACTTGCATAGGATAACAATGATAGAAATAGACATATTTAAGAAATTAATACAAAACCTTACATGTAACGTTTGAAATATTCTCGTTATTTAACAGATAGTCTTAGTCAAACGAATTTGAGACAAAAATTAAAACTTAAAAGAAATTGTTAAACTTTTTGAACAAAAAAATATCAAACAGGCATTGGATGATTAAAAAATTAGCACCTGCAATCCACAAGAGTTACAAACTTATCGGCTATTTCCCGATAAGTTCTCTATAAACAAATGAAGAAGTTAAATTTTTTAAATGAAAAATTACTCCCAAAAACTTTACTACCGCGTTTGTTTGCAGGAAACCTTGAGGAAAATACGCAATTGATTTTGGGGTTCGCGTGGTACTGAGGGGATTATTTTCCGCAATCAAATCTCTACCAATAGAAGTATGGGATTTGACATCACGTGATGGGCATGACACCGATAATGTTCGGGAATTCCACAGCTGTTGCTAAGCAATAAATAAACTGTTTTTTTTTTCAATATGAAACAGCTGAAAAAACATCAAAAAACCGTGGCATTTTTGGAAATCGGTCAGAAAAACGATGGTCGACAAATGTCAAATCCCAATTCCCATTGATCGGCATTTAATTTTGGAGAATATTCGTGCTTGAAAATTAATGGGATATTTCGCTAAAGTTATCCTGCTTAGCACCATGTGCGTGCCTGCTGGTACAAAATCTTTCGCGCAGGCGCTCAGAATTTTGCTACTGCTCAACTGCATACATTTGTTGCTAAAAAACGTAACTTTCGGGAAATTATGACATAATCTTTAAGCACTCGTGGTATTATAAGTGATCATTTTTCCATCCAAATTCCCACCAATAGAATTGCACCATGGGACAAAATCAAAAATCAATACTTTCCCATTAACACAGTAGTATTCTATCCATTAAATTGGATGGAGATTACGTGGAGTGGCCAATGTATTGTCTTCTTAAATATATCAACATGAAAAATTACCAGTGAATTAAAAAAAAAATATCAGTTGTATTTCGCGTTTACTGTATAAGAAAAGTCGAATGGTGCAATTCTATTAACTAGAAATTGGGATGGCGAAAATAATGTCGCGTATTTTCTCCAACTTCTTCGGCAACTGATTTTGTAAATATCGTTTTCATGTAAATTTTTCTGTTCTTTTTTCTCGTAATTCGAGTTCTATTGTTCGGATTTTCAATAAGAGTCCATATACTTCGGAGCTACTCTAAAACAATCTCAATTATTTATCGGAAACATATGTAGTACATTTGAGAAATTGACATTTATATGACTAATGATTCAAACTCGGTTGACATGAACGTTATGTTAAGTCTTTGCAAAAAAAGAAGGGATTGAAGTAAGGGATCTCTATTACGGCAAATAATAAAAACAAACAGCACCAATTCCCAAGGGATTAACGGTTTGGATAACCTCGTACATAAAGTCAGACGTAAAAAACTACTTGATATGAAAATCAGGAATAGCTTTAATATGATCAAAGACCGGTGGGAGCCAGAGCCTAAAAGAAAATTGTTTGTTGCAGAATGATTCCGTGATATAGGCAAAAAAAGGTCGTTGAGGTGTTTTCAAGTATTTATTTCATAATTAATAGTGAAAAGTATCCTAGTAATTGATCAATTTTCTTCAAGCAAAGAATACCTCAGCTAAATAACCGCGAACACTCTGATCGCTGTAATTCCTCTTGGTGATCGTGTGCCTTGATCTAACAGTGTAAAGAACGGCACAAAAAACGAGAATAACAAAGAGATGTTGTCTAATATTCCCCTGCGAATGAAGACATAAAATAAGAGACATTCACGAAAAACTAATTTTATAGATTTTTATAACGATATGCTTTGGTGCCCTCATTATTTTCAATACTCAACTCACACTGTCCGCCATGCTTTCTAGTATCCTTTATAGCGCAAGCTCCTCGCTTTGATCTGGCGACATTTGCCGTAACAGCTGATGAATGGATACCGAAGAGCAGTGCTCAATCACTCAATTTATTTTGTCTCAATTTTTGTGTGAAAGCAATTCAATAACATCACTTCAGGAGTTATAGTTCCGAGCTCTCATGTGCTAGTTATTGGTTGATGATCACCACTTCGCATTGCAGGGAAATTGCACTTTAGTCGAAGGATGCAGGCATGCGTATTGCAACGTACAAAACTCGGATAGGCAATTTTGCGTTCAGAATTGGGGCATTGAATTATTGTCAAATCACGCTTATTTCCCTAACTATTTTTCACAGATTCTCTGAATCATAAAAATTCATTACTTCCTATGTCAAAATAAATACAGGCCAATAAGGCTTCTCACATATCCCTTATGAAATATGCACTGAAAATTAGGAACGAGGATTCTATCTATAGTCCTCCCTTTCAGGCGATACTAGCAAGAGGCTGGGAATAAATTAAAAAAAAAACCCGAAATATCCTGGTATTTGGAGATTCTGTTGATTATAGATAATATTTTTTAGGAGGTTCCCTCGATAAAATCGGATTTAAAAAAACTAGTGAAAATACAAGGGAATGGTTGCGAAATTCGGTTTCGGCGTTTTTATTACCTTCTAATAGGTTGAGTCGATTTCTTTGAAGTTTTCTCACGATAACACCTTTTAGGGAATGAACTCATATACTTCGATTGTATATTGTGACCTTGGCCGGAGAATTAGCCTGGATAATTCTCAACCAAGGCACGATAATCGGGAATTTGCTGTATGTTACGGGAGCGGCCTGAAATGACAAAAGAGGGGGGGGGGGGGGAGTAAATGATTACTCGGGGAATTTAGATAGATTTAATATCAATATATTCTATACTCTTGATATCGTCAGATAACAATTAACAACACCAAAAGAATGAAGACCTTTTCCTTACTAATTAGCTCGAGGGTTGGGGGTAAGGCCAGCCAACTTGCGGCTACACAAAAGATTTGTAACGTGACATTTTCGCGGGGAATGGAAAATGCCCATTACCTTCGCCCTACTTCCCCTGAGGCTAACAAAACCTGCTAAAATTTAAATCAATGGGCGCCAGGTAATTTTTGTCCGGAATCACCAAATCGGAAAAATCCATAATCCTAAACATAACTGACCTCGATATTTGTTGCCTCGAAAATCGTACCTCAAACTCCTGAAATACTAACTCAAAAATATACTCTAAAATCGAAAAGGAAACCTGAAGGGAACGGAAAGGATAATTAGGCTTTTGGGGAAAGGTGACGGTCCTGGGGTCGCTCAGTATGCAAGTTGTGGAGAGAAGGGTGGATCGCAGATGGGGAGAAGGTTATTGCAAAAATCGGGTAAATGCCAAAAAAAAAGGAAAAAGGAGGCGAGAAATAAATGAATGCACCAAAAAAAAACATTGTCCTTACATGTTCCACTATTGAGAGTCAAAATTCAGTACAAGAATAATAATCAATGATAAACATTTTTACTGGACTAATCTGCTTCCAAATTTTATTCGCAATTTCAATTTTTTCTAAATCTCAGCGTTCCAACCGAATTCCTAATCTCAAATTTAATTCTCTTCTTAAATGATCGCGGAATATGAATTTTCTAACAAAATCCTAAATACAATTTCAATTGCCCCATTAAATCACCGCGAAAAATAAATTCTCCAGCAAAACCCGAAATATGTTGTTGATTATTCCACATTCACATAGAATCATCCCGTCGAAATGCGGCCTCAAGGATTATCGATCGGCGATAATCCAAGGAATAACCGAAATTTTATTTTCGCCCGGGAAATCGATCATTTCCCGGAATCGGACCCTCTACGGGTGAGCGCGGGAGAGAGAGAGAGCGAAAGAGACGGCACTATGCCTCGCAGCTCGGTTAGCAGCGAGGAGAAATCGATCACAATAAATTCAACTTTTCTTAAAAATTGGATAACTCGGAATCCGCCGAGCAGAATCCGGAAAACCCAGAACAATATTGTTCTGGACACTATTCCCCACAATGCCACGAAATTTTAGACATAAAAGTACATAATTAACCCCGCTGGTCCAATTAATAACCACGAGGAAATTTAAAGCGCGATTCCTCACCTGTTGCACGTAGCCACTCGATGGCTGCCTCGATGGAACCACGAGGGAGAACAGCACTATAAAAATACCCTCGAAATCCCACAAAATCGTACCAATAACCCACCAACCGCACTGGGAGATAACACAGGCCGAAGTCGTTCGGAAAAATCCGTCCATGAACCTTTAAAAACCACCCAAAATTGGGGGACACAACCGATGCCATTTCCATGGCTCGGAAAAATCTCACAACCGCCAATAATTATTGGGGAGCCGGCAAAAAGGGGAAAAATCTCTAAATAAAACCGTAAAAACTCACTTTGGATCCCCTTGATGCCTTTCTTTTCTTCTTTTGGACCATCCTGGGTATTAACATGTATCCTCGGATGGCCTGGAATGTCCTCGGTGGTGCACTGTATCACTGTAATCACTCACGTATCTCCTCTTTCACGGTCAAGGCGTAACTGATTTTCGGGGGTCAGTGTCGCGTGACGCTGACCCCCCTAATCAGGCCTACCAATCGATCGGGTGTCGATTGGTGGATCCCTCTACCTTATTATGGGCCAAGCCTTTCGCGGGAGAATCAATTCAAATTTGAATTAATTCTGATTATCAAAAATTCTCCTTCCGCGGTATTATTCTCTCGGGTGATTCTCCTGGATTCCTGGGGCTAGAAGGCCTTAAGCACTAACCGTAAACGTAATATTTTCGCTCACTAACCCTTAATTGTATTTTTAATTCTTGGCAATCCGCCATGGTAAGGGCTGGATTTACCCCGTGCAGGGTAAATCCACCCATAACTAATCCTAATGTTTTTGGCACTCCGTCGGGATGAAGGTTGATTCTATCCCAGACGGCCTTCTACCCGTAACAGCCCTTGGCCATCCGTAGGGGTATTTTTCATGTCCCCCTACGGTCTTTTCACCCGTACCAAATAACCCTCAAGAATCCTTTTATTTGGAGCACCGACTTTTTGACAGCACCTATCCGATCCGGAGGGCTTACCCTATCCTCCTCATAAAAATCCTCATAACCCCTAACCTACTCTAAACCACCCCAAAGGGGGGAATTCCTAGTTTACCCTAAACCTAACCCGTATCCTACTTGTCTCGCTCTCTCTCTAAATTCTATTTTTAGGGATCCCAACGGGCATCCCCGATGCTCGTTACAGATTGAACAAAACAAAGAAGGGATGGCTCGACTCTGAAGAAAAAAAAACGGGGAGAAGTGAGGGGTCCGAGAAAAATGATTTTGAAAATTAGGGGGCTTTATTTACATAAAAAGACTTAATTAGAGGCTCACCGTTGGGGGGAGGACCTTGCGGGGGTTGTGTGAATGTTTGTTGGTGCGGGAAAGGTAATGACAGGTACTCACGGGGATGGCGGCTTCCTTAATCCTCCACAAAATTATCTAACCGAAGACTCCTCACGACGGCCGTTCCCCCCGTCGTCACTTCTGGTTCTCTCCAATTTCCCCACGGACCACGTGCCCACTTTCCTCCCACAATTCTCCACAAATGGCTCTCCACCAATATCTCCAACTCTTTCCACACAAAACTCTTTAACATTCTTTCCGATAAACTCTCCAAACTCTTTCCCAAAACTCTCTAAACTCTTTCCCAAACTCCTCGAAATAATTTCTTCTATCCACGGGGGCAGCTATATCACGAGTGATGGCATCGCATCACTCGTTCTCGTTGTTCCCCGATTATCACCGATAATCATTATCGGTGATTATCGGGGTCAATCGGGGACACTCGGCATTGAGTGTTCTCGTCAATATTATTAATTTATGTTTCAGTGAGGGATGTTCTTTTTCTTCTCTTGTCTTCCATCCGGCGCGTGTGCTGGCGAGGGGAACGGTGGGGGGGGGGGGCGTTTCTCCTTCTCTGGTGCGGCGTTGTTTCCACCGGGCGTGAGTGTAGCGATGAGGGAGGGCAACGGGCAAGGGGAAGGAATCTTTCGGGAGTGGGAACGGTGACAGGATTTATCACCTTGTCTATTTATTTTAATCCAATTAACTTAACCTAATTAAATCTAAAAACAAGTCATTATTGGGGGGCAGGGGAGGGGCTGAAAAAAGTGCCTCATCACAATATACAGGGTGTCCGACATAAAATTGTACACCCTAATAACTATTGAATGTGGGTAGTAATCGAAAAATCTTTCAAATAGAAGTTGGAGGGCTCCAAGTGGGAAAAATAATGAGATAGGTTTTGAGCATTTAAGTCTTCATGTTTTTATGCTACAAGCATAAGTTCATTTTTTTCATGTAAGCCCAAAAATTTTCTTGTAACAAAAGTTGTTGTACTCGATGAGATGAATGTAATGATGTTACACATGTGTTTTTTATGCTTTCTGAGTTCAAAAATACTAAAAATGGAACTTGTCAATGATATTCCAAATTCAGACACGATAAACAGAAAGTGGCCTTTAAATAAGAACCAGTAAACACCAAAGTGTAAATACCAGAGCTATCTGGTGTACCTTAGTGTTTATTGTTTCTTAGTTAGTACGAATCGGGTCATTATTGAGTTCAGATTATTTTTGAGTGATTTCGCTTATCATGGTTTATTCCGCAAATGAAGTTGTGGATATTCTACTGGTTTTGGGAGAATGCCGAGGTGCATATCGCGCGGCCGCTCGATTGTATCGACAACGGTACCGAAACCGATTACGTCATCCCTCAGCTTCATGCATTCGGATTATCGAGAGAAATTGTGGAAGAGGAAGAGTTCTGCAACGACGACAACGACCACAACGGATGAATCCTGACAATCCTCGTACGCTTACCGTTTTGGCCATGGTTCACATGAACCCTCACATCTCTTTAAGAGAAATTTAGAGAGATTCAGGTATTCCACGAAGCACAGCTCACGATATTTTGAAACCAAACCGTTACTATCCATATCATATCAGATTGACACAAGCACTGTGCACAAGATAGACAGAATCGTGTTGCTTTTTGACACTGGGCCATAGGGATCTTGAACGAAAGTCCCGAGTTTTTCCAAAATGTCCTTTTCAGTGATGAAGCGACGTTTAAAAGTACTGGCGCATTAAACCGTTATAATTCCCATTATTGGTCTATGGAAAATCCTCAGTGGA